TGCCTGCAAAGACACTGAGGTCATCCTATCCTAGAAGGGGTCCACCCTAATCCGCCCACAATTAAGCAAGCCAAAAAGCTTTTTTTTTTAACTCACACAAAGAAAACAGTAGGCAGAGAATTAGGTATCAGTTTAAGCCAGTCACTCGCACTTGCACAGTGAAGACCCCAACGACCTTCAACTCACCTGAGTCTCATTATACCATCATTATAATATGATACATATGCCTCGAAGTTCATTGATATCATTATAACAGACTGAATTCTGGGAAAAAAAATGTGCAGAAAGCAAAATGATGAATCACTGAGTCCTGTCAATCTTAGTTGTCAATCAAGGAAGCCCACCCCTCTAAGAAAAGTAACCACCCACAGCAAAAAGGGATAAAAACACCAAAGGCTTTGTTACCAGGCCTTTTGAGCCACGCTTCTCTTGCACAGGTCTGCTTCCACTTCTGGAAGTGTACTTTCCTTTCTAATAAAACTTTTCTTTTCTACTGTATTTCAGTGTCTTGCTCAAATCTTTGTTCGAGACGTCAAGAACCTGGACAACGTGCTGGGAGACAATCCCCACTCTCCGGTAACATTACTTTCACAAAGGTATAGTCAGGCCAGATCTTTGTGAAGATCACAGAAAGGACCTGTATGTTTATAGTCTGGGTGAATGTGACATGGAAAGGAACAGCATGTGTTGGAGCAAGAGATGATCAATCAATTGAATTAACTGTTAGAACAATTTAGGAGTTAGTAAGTGTAAAGTGCTTGGAACAGTGTCCTGCACACAGTACAGCTGATACATACTTGTTAAAATAAATGAATAAACAAATTCTGAGATACAACTCTGACAGCTGGCCCAAGTCACCTGACCAAGCGGAGGAACTGAGAGTCACTGGAGTAAGCAGCAAAGGGCAACAATAGTGTCCTCCACAGTTGTAAGGCCAGATTCATCTATTATGCTGCCTGGAGGCCCAAGATTACAACCTCATTAATGATAAATACCAAGTTAATTTCCATCTTTGTATCCTGAGGACCTAGTACAAATGCCTGGAACATAGTAGATACCCAGTGAAAAACTGCTCGATCAATAAATGAATGGATAGATGTCTTTTGAAAACACATATTCATTTAAAATTTTTTTGAACTTTCAAAACATACCATTGTTTTAATCACAGCATCACTAGGATGTTTTTGAACTTTCATATGTTTCCAGCTCCAATGGAATTCTTATAGTCTGAGGAGTACCAGTTGGCCAACCTTGCCATAACCTTACCCCGATACGGCCCAAACCACTGACAATGTTTTTCAGTTCACAATCAGGAAGTGGGTATTTTAGTGCAAACTTATCTCCACTAGTATGTAAAGAACTCACATGTTTTGGATACAGTAGATCAGAAGCAATATTTCTGGATAAAAGACAGTAAACAGAACCTATGGCTCTACCTTTGAAACAGATCCACAATGTGACTTTTACCACTTCCACTGGTACCGCACTGGCCCAGGCCACCATTCGCTGTCACCAGGATTACTGCAGTGGTCTCCTAACCGGGCTCCCACTTCCTTTGCAGAGTGTCTTCTCTCGAAACAGCAGCCAGAATGGCTTGTGAAAACCCAAATCAGATCGTGACTCTCCTCTGCTCAAAACAGTTGTATCAGTTGGCATCCAATCGAGAAATCAGAAACCACTCTATATTTCAAAGAGAGAATATATATTATAGGGAGTTGATTACAAGGATTAGTCACTGCAGGAAGCCACTACCACTCTTGGGCTGCAGGAACACAAGGGAAAATGGTGTTACATGGAACCTACAATCAGAGCCACTGAAGTGACTGCTGTTGGAACCGAGCTGCCTGAGCCAGCATTCCCAGCTGCTGTAACTGCTAATGCAGCTGCCATGTGGGAAAGGCTGCCAGGATCTTCATCCAGAAAAAAAAAAAAGGAAGGCTCTTCCTTTTCCCCATCTTCAAGTCTTGCCAGTACCTCCCAGTGGCAGAACCTAACAGGAAGCCAGCAGGCAAGGGAGTCTGGGAAATGTAGTTTGTAAGTCCCCTGCTCCAGCAGTAAGAGGAGGGTATGGCAGGAGAGAGTGTGGGGTTGACAGAAAACAGACCCCATCCAGAGCAGCACCTCACACACAGTAAAACCCAAGTTCTTCCAATGACTTCCAAGGACGGCACTATCTCGTCCCAAAACTTATGCACCTGCTTTCTGACCTCCTTCTCTGCCACGTCTTCTCACTCACTGTGCTCCAACCACACTGGCTTCTTTGCTACTCTTCAAACACGCCAGGCCCTCCTTCCTACGGGTCTAGCACTTGCTGTTCTCTCTGCAGGGGATAATCTTACCCCAGACACTTTTACAACTCACTCCCTCATCTCTTTTAGGCCTTTATTTAAAGGACATCTTCTGTTGATGGGCATTTAGGTTGCTTCCATATCTTGGCTATTGTAAAGTGTGCTGTCATGAATATTGTAGTGCATAGATCTTTACAAATTACTGTTTTGGTTTTCTTTGGATAAATACCCAGAAGTGCAATTGCTGGGTCAAAAGGTATATATCCATTTTTAATTTTTTGAGAAACCTCCATACTGTTTTCCATAGAAATTATGGTTCATATATACAATGGAATATTACTCAGCCATTAAAAAAAAAAATGAAATTCTACCATTTGGAACGACATGGATGGACCTAGAGGTTATTATGCTGAGTGAAATAAGTCAGACAGAGAAAGATAAATACTATATGAGTGTACTACAGACTTGCTGATGTTAAACTAGGTAATAGGTACACAGGAATCTATCTCTCTGTATTATTCATGACAATTGCATGCGAACCTACAATTATCTCAAAATAAAAAGCTTATTTAAAAATAACAGAAACTCACAAATATAGTGAACAATTTGGTGATGGACAGAGGGAAGGGAGGTTTGGGGGGCTGGAAGAATGAGGTGAAGGGTCAAAGAAGTGCAAATTAGTAGTTGATAGTTGGTCACAGGGATGGGGAGCATGGCAGAGGGAATGCAGTCAGCATCAATATGTTGGCTAGGTGGAGGGCCGGGGAGGGAGGGAGCAATTGGGGGGATCATTTTATGAACATTATAGATGTCTAACCAATGTACTGTATACTTGAAACTAATTTAAATATATTTAAAAAAATAAAAATTAAATTGAAATAAAAAAAATAAAGGACACCTTCTAAATGGCACCTCCCAAAACATGAATTTAAAACTGCAACTCCTCCCAACTCCCAATCCCCCTTATTGTTTTATTTTTCCTCAAAGCATTTATCCTTTTCTAACACATTATACATTATATCATTTATCAAAACTGTATATCATATACAGTGTTATCATATGTTTTTATTCTATATCATGTATTTTTACTTGTCTCTAAATATATATGTCATCAATATCCCACCACCAAAACATAAGCTCCATGGGGGCCAGGATTTTGTCTGTTTTGTCTATCGATACAGCCCCAGTGCTCAATAAATACTTGTTAACTGAATAAATAAAGGTAATCATTAGTAAATGTATTTATTATGGGATGAAAAGTATTAAAGGCCCTTAAGAGCCTGGGGGAAGGGAAGGAAAAGAAACACTGCTTACACCTCTTCCTCTTCTAACCCCACTCAGGCTACGTTAGGTGTCCCTTCTATGTGCTTCAAACACTCCCTGTACTTCCCCCATCCCAGAACTTGTCACACGATGTTGTAGTTATCTGTTTACATATCTGTCTCCTCCACTGAAACTGTAAGTGCCACGAGACACCAAAGGGGTGGTGTGCGTCTGGGTGATGCTGCACATCAAGCACCTAGCAACATGATCCTGCAGGTTCTGCATGCAGGGCTCAAACAGTCTGTGTCACTGAGTGTTCTGGTGAAGAAGCAGAAGAATACACACAGTGGTCTCTTGACATCATTCCCACCTCTGGTAATCTAGAAAGACAGAAGAGTCAACAGCCGTGAGAAAACAGAAACAGAGTCAGGACCTAAGCACAGAAGAAAGAAAGAAAGTTGGTAGTGATAGTTCTATCGTTCTGGCTAAGCGAGGACAGGCAAAATTATGGCTTCGAAAATATTTTAATCTTTTTATTAGAAGTGTTTATATTGCCTGAAAAGCATTCCACTGGTGAGTTATTTTAATAGCTGAATATTATAGACTAACAAACAAATCTCGAAAAAAATTAAATTATGAAAATCAAAATAATTATCATAGAAAAGCAAGGCATCTCAATAGATAACAGATTTTACAGTGTTATTCTCAAAAGGAGTGGGTGTAAGAGCTACAAAAGTTCATTAACAAAAGTATTTTTCTAATTTTATAACCAACTTTAAGAGGAAAGAACTGTCCTCAATATGTGTAGTCACTGACAGTAGAGAGATTATTGCTAAAAATCATCCTTGGTTAGTTTTTCTGTTAGGTTTCCTATAGATATCTAGAAAATATCCACAGTCTTTTATGAAGAGATCATAGCTATATCTCAGACTTAAAGTTGATTTATTTATTTGGTAATAATTCAGGGACTGAATGAAGTCATATCACACACAAATACTGAAGCACCAAATTTATCATAGCTTTGACTTGGCTCACATCCTTAGCAGTTTAGAGGCGTGCAGAAATGTCTTATCTCATCCTAAGAAGGAGCACTGCTCATTGCCCACATAGATATCACCCAAACACATCACACAGGAAACTTGGGACTTTGAAAGAAAGGCCTCCTCAGCTGGCCTGTCTTCAGCACGAAGCACATACACGCTGTTCGGTGTCCAGTGGCCTGCCGGTGCGTTCGCGCATTGGGCATCCCTTTCCTCTTCTGCGTTATTGAAAATTCGATTTGACCAATGACGATTTGAAATGCATTGTAAGAAACAGGAATTTGGTTCATCAGAAACCTGCCTTTTTCATCCCTTTCTCACGGCATAAGTTTGCCAAATAACTCCCAACCAGAAAATGACTTTGACCTCCTGCCTGAAGTGTACATTTATTTGTTTGCTAGTGCAAGGAGATAGCTGAGCAAAGCCAAGGGGGATACACGCACACGTTCTTGGGAGGATTATTTCAGAACCCGTTTCAGAGCCGACTCTAATTCGAAAATGCCTCTGCCACTTAGACCCACATGGAGATGTTACTAGCCTCACGAAATGTCATCGGGTAATTGAGTTTTGCCAGTGGTGGAAGTGATTGCAGCCACCGTGGCTTCTTTGTGAGAAAGGGAAAAGGAGGAAGGGGCAGTTTATTAGAAATCACTTTAGGGAGGATGCAGTAAAAGTGGACATATAAAGCCATGGGCTATTGATTGCAAATCTGGCAAGGCTGCAGGCCATTCTCATTGCAGGCAGGGCACCGCAGGGCCCGGTAGGACTCCTTAAATCTGTTGGCCAGCATCGAGAACTTGCTGCCGTGGCACAGAGAACAGGTGGCACTGCCCGACCCTCGGCAGTGAAAGCAGTTGTCCTCTGGAAGCTCCCCTTCCTGCAAGAGATGGGTCAGGGTTTAGTTACAGCAGCAGTTCAAGTCTACTGTTCACATGCAGGTCATGAGAGCACTGGGCTGCCGCAAAGGCTGGGGCAGAATAAGAGGAAACTGCCTCCCACAAATTCAATGAAGAAATTGGCCAGAGGCATGGAATAATTGCAGCAATTTTACCAGAGAGGTTTTCCCTGATGGACATCTCTAGGACAGCATCCCCTGCCACCATGCCTTGCATTCTGTGAATTTATGTTCTTCACTGTCCTTGTTGCCATCCGATACATTATTTCTGTATGCTCCATAATGGCAAGGACTTCATTATCCTCATTGCCAAATATTAACATTGAACGCTTGTAGCATGGTGGTAGGTGCCAGGTGCTGTTCTAAGAGCTTTCTCTATATCAGTCCATCTAATCCCCACAACATCTCAGTGAGATGGCATAAGGATTATCATCTCTATGTTACAGATGGGAAAATGTGACACCGAGGAGTTCAGTTATTCACTATTGGTCACAGCTTGGAAGAGGAAGAGACAGGTTTTGAAACAAGGTGGCTGAGCACCAGAGTTCACGCTCACAATCAAAGTGTGCACAGCCCCTCATTGTAGTTGTCCAAAGTAGGCACTCAGGAAAGATTGTTTTGTGTGACTTAGAGACTGAGTGGATGAATGAGCCAATGTTACAATCCTTCAAAACTTAGCTCTGAACTCTTGCAATACTTAATCTTTGTTCTTTTGAGAACTGTGATAAGGCCTCGAGATTAAGAGCTCTGCTCTGGAGTCAGAAGCCTGGGACTGAGGCCTGTCTCTGACATCAAATACGCACCTTGGACAGTTCCCTTAACCTCTAAGTCTCCATTTCTTTACCTGTGAAATGGGCGTGATAATGCGTACTTCTCTGAGTAGCTGGACTATTAGATGAGAGAGTGTATGAAAATACTGTAATATATTATCTGGCGTATTATGGGTTCTCCATAGGAGTTAGTTGACTTCTAAGCCTTGTTAGTAAGTGTCCAGTCCTCAACTCTTAACCTCCAGAAAATGCTCCCTTGTCTGCTGTTGTGTTCTTCCCCTAAGACATCTCAAGGAAATCGGCAATCTTTACACTACTGTGCAAAGACCATGCATAGCCCATTAACCTTCCAATAAATAGAGATATGAGATGTATACCAGGTGGATCCAGCACCAAATCTTGTCCATTTCCCCTTCTAAACATCTCCCAAATCTATCAAGTTTTTTCCACCCCACAACCACAATCCTAGTCCAGACACCCACCAACTGTGGCATGAATTCAGTGTGGATCCGGCCTCCGGTCTTGTGGCTGTTCTCCCCACTGATGCAAATTTCATTAAGTTGGGTGCAATTGTGATTGCCACACAGCATTCAAGAAACCTTTTAATGAACACTTGCCTTACAGATAAACTTCAGATTAAAACCCAATCTCCTCAACTGATTTAAATTTTTCATTACTTCTTTCATCAGGCTCTTGTCCTTAGGTCTCACTCCAGCTGGTCTCCAGGGACTTTTCCCTACCTGCAACCCAGCCACTTCCTCCTTATATTCAGATGTCAGCTTAGCAGCATTTCCTCTGGGAAGCTTTGCCCACCCACACTCTGGACCAGGATTCCCACTCTACTGACAGCTCCTGCTGACTAGATAGAAAACTCTCTGAGCTAGTCCCTTTCACCATCACTTCCTGGACATCCAGTGCCAAGCACAATATTTGCTGTTCATGTATTTGCTGAATAAACAAACAATGATGTTTGAGAACCCTTCTCGATCTTAAATTCTAGGAACTACCAAGACACCTGGAGTCCACTGGGTGCCTCCACCCAGCTAACACAGATTTCTTACATAACCTAATAATAAAAATAATCTCTGAAAAGGGAGGCATAAAATAGTTCTGAAAATAGCTCCATCGTGCTGCGAAGTATTTAAGAAGGCATTAGATTTTATTTATTCTAGATTTAGGAAATGGAAGTGATTATCCAACTGACAAAAACCTAAATAATGTCTGTGTACCCTTTTGTTAATATTTTATTGATTGTTGCCATGTTTTACTATATTAACAACGGAGAAATTTTTCTTCCCTTAAAGTATTCGAAATAAATATATTTGCCAAAATATTCTGAAAGCAAATTACCACAGTCTATTTTTCTGCCAAATCCACATGTTTTATGTTTTATACTTGATCCCAGTGAGATTTTAATGGTTTAAGTCAATGTTATCAAAGGAAGTACAGTAAAATCCTACCATAATTCTATATATGTGATGCAAAAATTATTTTGTATAGAACGCCGAGTCAGATATTGAAAGATTAATAAAATGACCTGGTGAGCCTGCTGTTGAGAAAGAACAGATCACTCACATTGTATCTGATGCATTATTAGAGGGTTCATTGGAGTTTCCAATCTTCCCTTGGGTTACTAAGCTTCTCCAACCACTCGCCCTCACTGTGCTCATTTAATTAATTAACGATTCATTAAATCAAGTATTTACTGAGCCTCTACTCTATACAAGGCATGCAGGATATAAGCTTTCCATTCTCATTTTTTAAAAATTACTATCAGAAAATATTTAGTAAGAGGACCTAGAACATAGCTGTAAAGCAGGCTTAGGTTCTAGAACCAACAAACCTCCCCAAACCACCTCTTACTAGATCCATGGCCAAGGAGGGGGGCTCGGCTTTCCTTGCAGACTCAAGGCTTGTGGAGCCCTGAAGATAGTAACCAGGAACCATTTGGAGGCTGCATGGTTAAGATTATGAGGTTGGTAGTCAGATGGACCTAGGCTTGACTCTTATCTCCGATGACCTCTGGCAAGTTACTTAACTTCTCGGAGCCTTAGTTTCTCAGCTACAGGATGAGATTACTAATAATACCTACCTCACAGAATCTTTGTGAGAATGAAGTAGACTACTGCATGGAGAGCATTGGGCATGGTATCTGGCTACCACAGGCCCTCATAAATCGCAGCTATTATTATTATTACTATTATTTCAAAAGCAAGATCATATAAAGCATAAAGAAGCCCAGATGATTTATGGTCTTGAGTCCACTGAACACAGGGCCAGAATTTTCCCCTTCCATGTTTCACTGTGGCTCAATTCTATTATCTTCTTCCTTCTCTTTTATAGTTAATACATAGCTTCAGCACGGCCTGGCTTTTAGCCTTGCCCTGCTCTTTCATCAAAGTCCCCACTGTTTCTCTGTTCTGTACAACACAAGAGTCTCTTGGTCAGAAGGAACTCTTTGGTGTCCTTTGACCCTTCTTTTTTTAAGAATAAACTTGTCTGGGCATTTACTGCATGAGGGATTGGGCAAACAAATAGCAATTTAAAACAGAGTTTAAAGGACAGGCAAGTAAAGTATGACCTTTCACAGCAATTTTCTGCTGCACGCCTCCATCCTGGTTTATGGCATCACAGCTAAAAAACATGAATCTCTCCAAATTGAATTTAAAGGTAATTGTCATATCAGGCCTAGTGTTGCTTTTTCATTCAGGGCCGCAATGTGACCCGTATTTCACCATTTCAGGCCCTCTTCTAAAAATATATGCTCCTACCAACTACAATATGGTATGAAAAATAATAGAATTAATGAATTTTAAAGTGGGAACAGAATGCTTTGGATCACATTGTTTAGTTGTCAGCCTGCTGGTATGCTAGGTTCTGAATAGGGCTACATAGAAGGCAAGAGAAGGTAGAGGCAGAATACTTCTTATCAGCTGGTACGTGGGTCCCAAATTCCAATATTCTTTGCACAAACACTTAACTAATATTTACTGGGTGCGATTATGTGCCAGGCTCTATTGTGGGGGAGGAGATTAAACTACTATGTTACACCCAACATAAACATGGTCCCCACCCTCATGGAGATCAAATCCTAGAAGGTGAGAACAAACATTAACCAAATAATTACACAAATAAATGTAAGATTGCAACTGTGAGGACAAATGTCAGGTGCCCTGAGGGACCCTTTCTTGGGGATTTGAGCCTCCTGGACGCCAGGGGAGGCCCCTCTGAGGAAATGCTATCTCCACTGAGATCGCAGGGGCTGAGGGCCAGATGGTGGGGAATCTGCAGAACATCCCAGGCACAGAGAAACTGCCTCTGGCAGGAAAGAACAAAGATTGGAGGGGTGGCTAGAAGGGCAGTGTGTCTGGGGTAGAGAGAATGAAGAGAGACATATAAGAAGAGATGAGGCTGAAGAGGCCAAGAGTGGCCAGGCTACATAGTGCTTTCCAGAACAAGTGAGGAGTTTGGGCTTTATACCAAGTGATGAGAGGCCATTGAAAGTTTTGGATGGGGGAAAAAGGTGATGAAGGGGTGACATGATCAAATCTGCATTTTAAAAATATATTATCAAGTGTGAGATCAGGTTGGAAAGAGACATAAGTGGCTGTGAGCAGAACTTTAACAGGAGCCTTTGCTGGAGTCTGGTCATGACCTCGTTCCTGTCCCCTAAACTCTCCCAGGGTGGGGACATCCCTCAAGTGCAATGAAGCCCCGGGCCCATTTTGTTACATCAACTTTTAGGAGGTGAGAGTGAGTCCCACAGAAAGCTTCAAGTCCCAAAAGATGGAATCTAAAGAGAAAATTCATTTCTGCTGCTATCCAAGCTTTTACTCTCTCAGCTTAAATTCATCAAAATTGCTTTTCCCCAACCTTGCACTGTGAAGTAATGAATATCATCACTCTTCCCCCTCATCCGAGCATGTCTGAGCAATGGTTTCCAAGGTGGGGAGTGCACACCTCTCTGAGGTGTGGGGACAAAAGTATTCAAACTATATTTTTACCTAAAAAAGGCAAAAGAAAAAAAAAAAGCTTTAACAATATTTTCAAAAGAAATTGTTATACTAATTTTTAATAAACTAGTTGGCACTGGCACCCTCTAAGACAGGCAGTCACTAGAAAAATGTACCCCAGGGACCCTGGAATAAGCGTGATGTAAAGTGACAACAGTGTCTTGGATCATTTTTTCATTTTCAGCGTACTGCAAAATACTGCAGATTATTGTGCCTGGTCTAGTGGATTTACAAATTACATTGCTTAGTTTTAACTGAACTAATTTTATAAAATCTAAAGCCTCTCAGTTTTATAAGATTTCTCCAAGGAAACTGTGGGTTGAGTGAGGATAACACCAATAATAGAAGCAGAAGCAAACCCATAAGAAAATTACAGAGCTGATTTTTGCTATCTCTACAGCAAGACGTTCTAAGCCAAGCCACATTGCAAAGTGAAAACAACAGCTACCTAATTAGACCTCAAAAGAAGTCATTAGAAGTGTTTGAAATATGGACTTGATAACTATTATTTGCTAACAATGCACCATTAAAATATAATAAACTTAAAATTCCTTAACACCTTTAGTATTCAGACACCTTTAAGTCATCATGTACAGAAGTTTTTACTTAAGTAGTGCCCAATCAAAACAACCTGAAGACCACCGCAGTAGGGCCAGCTCTGAATAGGACAGCAAATGGCCGTGACACACCTGTGGGTACTGGTTGTGGGGGAACGTGCTGTCAGTCTCTGGCAAAGGCCTGTCATTCTGGTCACTGTCTCCATAGATTTCTTCTTTGCTCATCAGAGACTCTTCCTCGGCCTCCTCTTCCTTCTGGAGAATTTTCCTCATGAAGTCTCTCTTGTCCATTGGGGTTCGAATGATTTTCAGATTATTAGTATAGATGATTATCTTTCCAAAATCTATAATAGGTGGGGACTAGAGAAATGGAGAATGAGCATGGAACCTCCACCAGCAATCACCTACCTGTTCAACATCCCAAGGAATTGGAGAGAGGGATCTTCTACTGCCTGGCACTTGTGATGCCATCAGACCACAAAGCTACAGTTCATTCCCTGGTTTGTTTGCTTTCTCTGAAAACCATGACAACCATCTTCCTTCTTCCTGTTGGTGGTAACCGAATGAAGATGAACTAGTCATGTAACTAGAGTGTAAGACTGCAGAGTAGGGTCCAAAGTGTCTATTCTGCCACACAGCACAGCAGCTGATGCAGCCAGGCACAATGCATGCTTAATAAACATGAAGAAATGCTCTTTTTAAAATAAACAGCTCTCCAAAGTTTTTTCTATGAATAAACAGTAGTAGATACAATTCATTGAGCATTATTATTATTGTGTCAAGCATCATGCTAAGCATTTTACAAACATTACCTCACTTCCCCCTGATGCTATGATTTCCCCATTGTCTACAGACAAAGAGACCAAGTCTCAGTGGGGTGAGGTGTCTCCCAAGGTTACAGAGTTCCTAGGGTCTGTGGAAGGAATTCAAACCCAGGTCTATCTCACTCTAAAATTCATATCCTTAACACCTACACTGAAATATTCACAAGCACTTTCTCCCCAAAACATAAGATCACTGTATTTATTTATATATATATTAATTTATATGTGTATATGCTGTCATAACATTTTTTATTATTTGTATAATATAAATTCTTTTTATGTCAATAAATGTACTTCTATAGCATCATTATTAATAGCTTATGTCTCTTGCATGGATTTCTCACGTGTTCCCTCATTCACTGAGGAATAATTTGGACAATGCTACAAAGCAGCAGAGAAGCATGGTGGTAAACGCTTAGAGATTACTTAACTATGAACACGTATTTCTTCCCAGAGCTAGGATAACCTGCAAGGAAATTACACTGGATCCCAATTTTACTGTTCACCAATTGTGAGACGCAGGAGAGTCATTTGGCCTCAGGTTGCTCACCCGCAAATGGTCTGACATCTAGCTGTTAGGCACCACCATAGACTAACTAGTCATTAAAACATAAAATATTTCTACACCAGGTGGCAAATAGGTGCTGTCCTGAAACTCCTGAGAGCCCTCCTGTTATTCCAGCATCTCTTCAGGGAGCCCCTAACATCCCAAAAAAACAGTAACATAGGAATTAAGGCTTAGGACCCCCAGTGTCAGGCCGCTGCCCCAACACTCTGATGGCTTCTGGGCTGACTGAGCAATATCCCTGTGGTTAAATATTTTGACTCTCATCCCTGAGGCTAATTATATCATCTTCTAGGGGTGGAAGTACTGTGAAGAATATATAAAACGGTTTGCAAAAGCCGGAGATACCACGCAAACAGTGGGCATTGTTACCACTGTTGTTATTAAAAACTGTTTTTAGTAGTGCATGCACAATCGTGCTACACAACTAAATGCCTCTGCCTGAAATATCTTGCCAAATCTATTTAGATACTACATTTAAGCAGTCTCATATCTAAAGCTCTCATGTATTCAGTCACAGCTTGGTTTGAGCAGGACTTCAAGATTCAGATCCTCTTCCTTGAAACATCCACAGAGTTTTCAATAATTATTTATGAGGCCACAAGCTTCCTACCTGGCCCTGTTTTCCCTCTCTCTCTTCTAGGGATCATGTGGCAGCTTCCATTTCCCATTGTTTGATGCACACCGGGTTCCTGTTTCACACTCTGGACTATCGGTTTCTGAACATCAGAAGATAAAGATGGTGGCACTTTTGGAAGGTTCTATTTCCACTTCCAGTAATAGCTGAAGAGGTTCAGTAACTAGGGAGGGTTTTGTTTTTGTTTTGCATCTTCAGCTGGTTTTCAAGGCAAAATTCTCAATGTACTTAAAAAAAAAGTCTACAGTCATCTGGTTCAACCTCCTGCCTCTAAGCTGGTCAACATCTGAAACACTCGAAAGAGTAAATTTACTTTTAATGTATTCCAAAGATGGATGGTCCTAAATCACCCTTACGGTGTGTTTAAGTTTCAGTCACCCCGACAGCCAAGTTCTTCCTTGTGGCTAAGCAAACTCTCCAGGTGTAACTAAAGTTCACATTATCTGGTTCCATCCAATCACCTGTGAGGAACACCCACTCTGACAGTACAGAGGGCTGGGATGGAGCCAGGAATTCTTTGTCTCCTTCCACAGTGCCGGGATGGTAACCTATGTTATAAATACTCTGATGTCAGTGGCAGCGTGCCAAGATTGCAATTCAGTCACCACGAAACCTTTCCACTTCTGTGTTTAAATGCAGAATCTCCTTACTGGGTACTAGAAACTCGACAGGCTTTGGAGGCAGGCAGACCTGAGTTTAAATTTTATTCAAATGTTATTTGACAGTTGTGTGAGAAGTGCGAATTATTTAACCCCTATGAACTTCCGTTTTCCAATTTGTAAGATTCCTTCTCATAGAATTATTGTGAAGATGAAATTACATATGTACAAAGCGGGTGTTCAGTAAATATTACTGCCCTTCCTTTCCCTTCCATTTTTTTAATGTACTTTATAAACATCAGTCATTTTCCATTCCTTAAAATATCTGATTGTTTATAACCACTTTCTCTATCCATCACATAAAATCTTAAAAAGACTTAATATTTCTTCCATAAGAATCCAGTCATTAATGGTAGGTAACATTTACTGAGCATACGCAATGTGCCAGGCACAATGATTGCTAAGAGCTTCTTATGTATCACCTCTTTCTAATCACCACAGCCATCTCCGTGAGCAGGTGCTTTTATTACTCTCATATCCCAGATTATAACACCGCAGCTCTGCAACGTTAAGGACCTTGCCCAAGCTCACACAGTAAGTGGGTAGAATGGACATCAAGCCTAGGTTTAACTGACATCAAAGCCTTTGCTTTTTAGGAAAAAAAAAAAATTTTTTAATGTGGTAAAATATATATAAGATAAAATTTACTATTTTAACCATTTCTAAGTGTACGGTCCAGCGGCATTAGGTATATTCACACTGCTGTGTAACCATGACCACCATCCATCTCCAGAACTTTTTCTTATTCCCAAACTGAAACTCTGTACCCATTAAACAATAACTGTCGCTTCTCCCCTCCCTAAGCCCCTGGCAACCACCATTCTACTTTTTGTCTCTAAAATCTGACTGACTACTCTAGGTACCTCATATAAGTGGAATCATACAATTGTCTTTTTGTGACTGGCTTATTTCACGTAGCATATGTCTTCAGGTTTCATTCATAGCATATGTCAGAATTTCCTTCCTCTTCAAGGCTGAATAATATTCCATTGTCTGTGTATATTACATTTATCTACTGATGGACATTTAGGTTGTTTTCACCATTGGGCAATTGTGAATAAAGCTTCTCTGATCATAGGTATACAAATATCTGTTCAAGTTCAGAGCCTTTATTTTTAATTATTATGCTTACCTGTTACTCAAATTGCCTCAACTTTAATTATGATGCTTAACTGCTACCCAAATTACCTCATAACCAATATTTACTAGGGGTTATTTTACAATGGGATTCACTATTCTACCAATATTCACCAATATTTACTAGGGGTTATTTTACAATGGGATTCATGAAAAATCATGACTTCCCACCTCTCATTTCCTTATTTTTCAGAAATCCCACATTGACAACCTGTTTCGGTGGGTGGAGCTGCATGAATCCATCTTGACCACTCTCATACTCAGAGGCTGGCTAGGCTGGGCTATAGCATTTGGTCAGGCAACAAAGAAAACAAGGAAAACTAAACCACGCAGGAATTTAATCCTGGACATGGCCTCTAGGGCACTGTGTTTAAACCAACTGTGCCATGCCGCCATGAGACTCAGTTATCTGGTTTTATAAATCCATGCCTAATCATATATTTACAAAAATGCCAAGTTTGACATGTGACATATGAAGGTCAAGCAGTCCAATATTTTCTACTGTGGCCTTGTACAGAGTACTGTATAAACTACAACTTTGTAAATTCTAAACCTACAAATAAGATTTAGGTAAAAAGAGATATTATACGTACAAGACACAGCTAAGTACCTAGAGCATAATAAGCACTCGCTAAATGGTAACTATTATTATTATCATCAACATTTAAGATCGTTATTATTAATGATCTTATTTTCTAAAAAGGAGCATTCCATAGGGCAAAAACATGGAGAATCAGAAGACTGAAGTTCTTATTCTGACTCTGCATCTAGTGACCCTATATTATTGAGTGAGTCCCTTCACAATTCAGTGTTCAATTTTCCTCATCTGCAAAATTGGAATGATCACACTTTACCTTTCTCCTCATGGTTGTGGTGAAGACATAATAGTATATGACATTGCTTTGTAATGCATAAGTCACTCCGCTAACACGGGGGGCTATCCTATTCATTCTAGCCCTCTCAGTACCAAAACAAAACAAAACAAAACAAAAAAAACTCCACAATTAGCATTGTCTTTGATAAATGTGGACATGCCCATAATTATACTTTTATCAATGCTAGCAAGGCCAATACATTTGTCTGCTATAGATATAGTATCTGTTTCCAAAGGAAACTACCAATAAAAATAATTAGAGTAATTATCTGAATTTCACACTTTAAAGATGAGAACAAATCCTGCTGTGCTATTCATTAATAACCTGGTGCATTATGTAATTGTATTTCATCTTTAAAATAAGGCCTTCATAAGTCCCACTGGCAGAAAGCATATACATATCTCCTATTACATTTTGGAAATGATTATTTTTCCATGCTCTTCTAACTTAAAAAAAAAAAAAAAATCATGTATAGGCTTTTGATTATCCAAGGTACTGGGGAACATAATTGAAATCCACAAATAAAATACATGTTTCAACTGAGCTATTAGCTCAAACTTCTTCCATTTGTAACATTTCCTCTGGTTGATTTGCTTTTCACCCTCTCTCCCCAGGACTCTGCCTACTCAGATTTATGCTAATAAGCAATAGAAAAAACAAACAAACAAACAAACAACAGACATTTTTAAAAATCAGGCAGCAAGAGGGAGATAGGGGGGAAAAAAAGACCTGGATAAACCACAAGCTGAATAATTGCCTGGAGTAAAATGAGCACCTTCAAACGCTCAGCTCTCTCAGGAAACAAGACAACCCACTGTTGCCTAATTTTCTAAAATGGCAGTCTGGTGGCCTGAAAACCACTGCACATCTATTTAATTTACTTACTGAGACAACCCAGGCATAGACCCAATTACAATTTCTTACCCTGGCTGGAATGTGAATACTATCTATGCTTATTGCACTTTATAATAAGTAATCGACAGCATGTTATTCTTGTCTCAGAAATATCCTAAGGGCGACTTCCCATTGGGTATACCCTCAACCCTGGTTGGTACTGGAGCATGAGCATGATATAAATTTGAAACATTTAGGTATTTCTCTAAACACACTTTAGTCCTTAGAGCTTATACACCATATACAATACCAACCTTATGGTCATTTGCCTTGTAATCGTTGAAAAGAGGCTGGCTGCCCGCCAAAGTGTATGCACTGCCCTCTCTAAACACGCTGATCCTTTGAGCAGTCAGCTTAGGGAAGTATGGTTGGGGTTTGGGGGCTTCCCCAGACCCATAAACACCATCCATTGGTTCAAGGGACTCTTGGAGAAAACTGTGAGGGTATTCCTCCTTTGGCGATTCTAACTCCTGCCCGTCCTCAAAGACCTGCTTCAACACTCGGCCGCTGTAGGAGGAAGAGATTTTAAATCGTACTTTCCGGGGTTTGCTGTCACTCTTCTGGTTCAGCTTCTTCTCAGGGTCCTCCATGAGCAGAAATGTCCCCTGTGGTTTCCAGGCTTCAGTGTAGCCAGTGAAACTTGTAGCTCTGAGAAAAAGGCACTTTATTTTCTCTCCTCCTGCATATAATTAATTCAAGTCGCTGCTGGGAGATGCTCAATTTACAGCAACTGACACCTGCACATTAAATATTGATAGACTCTCACACGAAAGCAGGCAGTTATGGGTTTATGAAGTAGAGGGAGCATAAGACAAGGTTGGGTGCCCCCTGAATCCCAAATTCACCCAGAACTTCACCTCAACCCTGGCTTTTCCTAACCTAAGTATGAGTAGGTTTATTTAGACTGAACAAGTACCAGTTCAATAATGATCAGTTACTCAGTCAGTTAGCAAATGTCTAGTTATTCTTACCAACGGCTATGATCTAATAAGCATTTAATATGTATCAGAGATTTTTACATGCATTATCTTACGTCATCCTCACAATCACCCTACAATAAAAGTATTAGTATCTCTGATTTACAGAGGGCAAAGTGAGGCTCAGAGCAGTTTCCTTATTTATTTACTTTAACACAGCTACGTAAGTGACAGAACAGGGATTCGAACTCAGTTCTGACTCCAAACCCCATGACCAGTCCACTAAGCCAAAACTTTTTAAATCATGTCTCAAGGAGTCCTAGACAAGAAGCCACAGGTCTCCATGTAAGGATTCCTTGCATTACCCAAGCAGTTCCATTTACATCTATTTTATAATTAAGATTCATTTGCAAGCACCGCTCTAGGCCACACAGCCTATTGTAGACAGTGCCCAAATGCCCACTGTGAGATAGCCACTGTGGTGACCGAGAGAAGTGTGAGATTTGGGGCTTGAGAATGACAGTCCTACAATCTAGTTTAGGAAACAGACCAAAGACATATGAAATAATAGCCTCCTGCTTAGGGAGCAAACTGTCCACTGCTGACTCTCAGCATAGCTATTCGGGAAAAGAATGGTCCCTCTGAGGACAAGGATGGAAGAAAAAGGCTTTTAAGGAAAGTGCCTCTTCAACAATGGGTTAGATTTGAGGAACCGGAATGTGGAGATTAAGCTTTGTCTCTGGCTTTGTTAATGACATCGTCATTTACTTAGTTGCCCAGACTGACTTCTCTCATACTCCTGCAACCATTCCTAGGGATTCTACCACCACTGCCTTCTTTCATCCCCTCCCCCGCCACCTCATCACTTCTATGTTCACAGTTGCAGCAGCCTCGTAATGACTTCCCCACCCACCCACAAGTCCACTCTCCACACTGATGCCGCAGCGACTTCCAGAAACACAAGTTTGCGAATGTCAATCTCCTGCATAAAAAGTCCGAACACTTCCATGCAGCAGGCAAAGTTCCTCAAAATCTAACCGTACCTTCCTGTCCAGCCTCGTCCTCTGTCACTCTTCTAGGCGCTGCCTGAGATCGGTGTTCCAGGCACACCAACGAGCTAACCGGTTTTATCAAAACCACAGGTTTCCGTCTCTTATCCAGTACTCTGTTCCTGGATTGAAATGTCAAACTTCCACTCCTCCTCCAAGTCACACCTCAAATGTCACTGCTTCTGTGACATTTGAGGTGTGACTTGGAGGAGGAGTGGAAGTTTGACACTGGGAGAAGGCCATGGAACTGTGGACCTACCGCTATTAGGTGCTCTTGTTTTCTCATACTATTCCTGTGTTCCCCTCCACTAAACTGTGAACACCACAGAGTCAGAAGCTGTCTTTACTATTTCTCTACCTCCAATGTTTATAAAAGTGCCTGGTACCTAATAGAAGTCAGTTAATAACTGTTGAATCAATGACTTCCAGGTGAGAGAAATCAAATCAATAAAACTTTTGGAATAGGAGTTAAACATACTTTGTGGAGAATAGTGAAGGTGTCAAGAAAGTTGTCAAGAGAAACATCTACATTTCTACTGAGGAAGGGGTTCACAGTTATAAGGCAGCTGTGTAATTAATGCACTAGGTTAAATACACACACACAGCATTTTTTAAAAAGAAAGAAACACTCTTCATAACATCAGAAGAGTCGTTCCTCTAGGTTCCCTGGGATGCAGAGCTGGCCTCCATGTACCATGAATGGTTTACAGGAGTCTGAAACATGGATCCCTCAGGACAGCTTGGTGGGACCCCAGGCTTCTAGGTGGTCATGTCTGACTACATCAGCCAACTGCATTTACTCCAGTGTATGAAACAAGTATCACTGTGTTCTATGTGTGCCATGCTGTAAAAAAGATTGGGAAGCCCTAACTGGAGAATATTTCTTTCTATTCATCACCGGAAACAGGTATTAATAAATGACCAATAGCCTATCTTCATCTGGAAGGACCAGTGAGCTGACTTCTATAGCTAATGTAAAATTGGCATTTTCAACTGCCCAAGAAATGAACACCATTAACAAAAATAGCCTTTCAGAAGGGTAGACTTCAACCAGAGCCTATGCACTGATGCATTTTGCACAATCATGCTTCTGTCACCTTGAAAATTGTTGTTACAATTAAGTTAGAATTATCAATACAATTGACTTGAATGGAATCTTCACTATTCAAAAACAATTATTTAATTATGTGAAGAAATCAAAAGCCGGCAATGAGTTTTCCGAAGTAACACATGTTCTATAATTTTTATGCCCTTTCCCATGATCACGAATAGACTTTGAGGGAGTCAGACCGAAATCACTAGAGGTTTTGAAATAATCATGTTTATTTGATAATTTTTAGATGTTAGTGTTTTTGGAATAGTCACAACTTATCCACTGCCAGAAGGAGGATAAAATTGATCAATTGAAAGCAATTTTGGTAGTATTATCAAAAACCTCAAAAATGTTCATATCCTTGAGCCTTACTAAGAAGGAAAATAACTGCATAAATCAGAAGAAATGATGTAAAAACATTAACACTGGTTGCCCCTGGTTAGAAGACTCGGGCTGCAATAAGCTTATCTCACTTTGATAATCAAGGGGAAAGAAAACATAAAAAATTCATTCCTTTCAACCCAATAATTTCTCTTAAGGAGATAATTTTTTTTTTTTTTTTTAAGTTTAAGAACTTGCTTGAGAAAAAAATCAATTTGAATTGAGCAGCGCCAACTGGAAGTGTTTAAGAGTGCTCCACCAGCAGAAGCTTGGGGAGAGACTTATATAGAGACAAGGCAGAAGCAAAGTCAGGAAGTTACTGATTGGCTATAATTGAAAGCGAGTTGGCTCTTTGTGATTGGTTGTCCTTGGCATTTTGATTTCATAAGCATGAGGCATCTACAGGCTTAGCTTTGGGTTTGCCAAAATCAAAACTTCTAGATTTGGGTAGCTCGCCATTGTGTTAAAGCCACATCAGTTTAATGGTCTCCTTGTTTAATTAATTTAACACATCCCCCGCCCCTACCCCCACCTTTGGTATTAGCTCCACTCTCAGTCATCATCACAGTTAAGGTGCTCTTGTCTCACTTTGACACTCATAGAGTATGATGTCAGATCTGTGAACTATTTGCTGTTTCATCTCATTGTTCATCTTGATCCTGTTCCTCCAAGTGCAGTGAGACCATCTAAGGTAGTACTGATGGCTGCAAAAATGCATTTAAGACCTTTGAGAGAACACAGCATCCTAGGGAGACCATGATGATGAGCACTGGGAGGATGACACCAAGAGACTTAAGTACACTCCTTAGCCAGAGACTCCATCACCCAAATCAGCTGGTATCAAATAAATCGAAGAATGTACCTGAAAGGGCATCAACCTGCTTTAGCCAAGTGGATTGTCTGTTAATTTCCTATATTTGCTATAATGCCAGAGGTATCGATCCAGGGACAGCATGAGGTATTTGCTATGGCACAGACTCCTCCTTGTTCCACCGATAAGTAATCTAAAGCAATTCTATTATCTAAAATTGCTTTAGCAAGAAAGTCTAAGGATGTTTGTTGTTCAGCTGAGGCCTTATCAGTAGATTCAGATAGTAGCCTGAGTTAAGGAACATAGTCTTAAACAGAAAAAAAAAAAGCAAGCAGCATTTTGTGGATTGGCAAATTTATAAATACATCTCACAATTTCTAAAAGTGTATTCTTCCTCATAGTAAAATTTTTAATGTGGCAGAAAACACATATTTACTAATAGACTCAAATATCTTAGTTCTTCTGTAAAAGGAAGCCGAGAGTGGATCCAGTCAAACGCTGACCGTTTCTGGAAAGAAAACTAATAAATAAAATAAAAACTAAAAGCTCACAATGCAAAAGCTGCGGAGTAGGATCCAGAATCTGAAAGCGACTTACCCACGACCTCCAGAAGGTGTGAGGAGACAGTGAGATCAAGGGGCTGGATGGCCCGATACCTGGCTGCTCATTGCGCCTTGGTGCTTCTGAGGGGCACCTTCAGCTCCCTCTTCTGACACCAGCACTGTTAAAAGATAGAGGGAGGCATATTAAAAATCTCGAGAGTTTATTTTAGCAAAAATCGATATGAATAGGGCAGCGCCAAACCAGAAGTGGTGGGAAGTGCTCCCAAGGAGATCATTTTAAATGAAGAAAAACATTTATGTAGGTAAATATGTTCTCTATAACATTATTCATAAC